AAGATTTTCGTGTAAGCTTATTACGCAATAATTAATAGCTGGATTAATCAAAAGGTGTTTTACTTACGGATTCAGATAGTTACAATAATGTGATGTTGTGTATAGGAAAATAATAAACGTTGCATAGGGCTTGAAAATCACCACGCCAAAACGTTTGTTTATGAAATACCGCTCGACGTACACGTAGAAGTCGACAATACAAAAGAGAACAGATATATGGTTTCTGAAAAAACAGGATATAGTGTGTCATTGTTTTTCAAACACTACCCAAAAAATCCTGATTGCAAAGGAACGATTTTGTAAAAAGACTTCGTAATGCCACTTTGTACTTTTTACCTGTCCAAAGCAAATTTGTACAGCATTGGTACGTGCGATCACTTTTTGTTACTTTTTTTTGTAGTACAGCATTTGCGCGATTACTATTGTCTAAAAATAAGTTTGCTGTCACTTTTTTTTCAAATCTAACCGCGTTTGTTGACCTAATTTATTTAGAACCCAACTATCGGGTAAGACTTGGATTTCAGCAGAACAAATGAAATGTAGAAATAAAATAAAGAAGTTGAAACAGTGATATTCTATTCTTTATTCTACTTCTATTATTCTATGATTTTTTATTGCTTCATGCTTCAGGCCATGAGTCTGCAAAAAGTGTAATCACATCGGTTGATTTGCAAGTTAAATTACCAATAAAAAAGTGGAAGGAAATGTCGGAAGGGAAGGTGAAAGGAAAGGAAGTGGTGAAATAGCACAGTTTAGATATTTTTTATAATCATTGTATGTGTGGGACATCTATATTCATAAAGATAATGTAAACTTCAGACTAAACAAGCTTAAGTTTTAAAGGGCACATTAGGAACCTGAAAGTTTCTCGATAGTAAAACTCGGGCTTTTCTGCTAAAAACCATGCCAAAAAGCTGTAAATGTGCACCAACTAAATAACCTAAAAATTCATGATTTCACCTACGATTTAGTTACAATTGTGCACTCATATAACGGCAAGTTTGGATACCAAGATGAGGCAAATAATACCTCCTCACTAAAAACTATGCGTTGTGAGAATAAGGGCGATCAATTGTTTGTCTGGCTAGGTTGAAGTTTCACGATTTCATGAAGGCTTGGCAGTAAAACAACAATTATGAGAAGTGTTAATTTCTTACTTCGTGGATTGTAAATGCAGCAAAAAAATTGATTTTCTTGTACAGAAAATCCTTAAATTTTCATTAACTTAGTCTACCACACCTCTGTCCTGATGATAGGAGTTTTAAAAGTTATTTAACAATTTGATCTTTCCAATTACTCGGTGCTCCACCATTTAATAGAAATGCTTGATCATTTAGTTATAGTATGAGTCATCTTGAGTCAGAAGAAGAAAATCAGCATAAGTGTTTCTCCGTCGTGACTTGATAAACGAAACTGCACTATGAACTATATTCTAGAAAATATAACTCAGTACTCACTGAAGTGAGTGACAGATCGAGAGCGCATTTTCTCGTCGACGAAAACATGAAATCACGGACGGACAGACAGACAGACGGACGGACAAACGGACGGACAGACGGACATGGCGAGCACAATAGTGCATTTTTTTCATAAATGAGAAAATGCGCCAAAAAATCAACTGGGGTTCTGAATAAGTTACGTTGAGCTCGCCTTGCCATCTCCACATTCTGGCTTTTTAAGGGGCGAACGTTTTTATCCAGTTTTTTTTTATCCTTCCTAACCTAGCTGCAGACCGATGACTTGGAGTTTTTTTCAGGTCTGCTCCTGGGCCGTCCAAAGTTGTTTTTAAGATCATTACGTTAATGAGCTGAGGTTGCTTCAGACGAAAAAATCAAGATCGCTGGTCAAAGTAAACAAAATTCTGGAGGACAAGACTGCCTGCAATTAAGAAGGCCTACGACATGAATATATTTTTTCTAAGCTAACAATGTTTATTAAGTAATTTATGAGAGGAAGATAAAATGTGATGTAACCTATATGTGATGAGCAAAAGCACAATAAAAATTTGAACACCGTTTGAACAAGAAGCAAAATCTGATATTTTCACTCAAAGCTTGAGACAAAAAAATTCTTTACCTCATATACTATAGATGTATAAATTAGAAATAGAATTCCTTTCTGGTAAAATTACAACAACAAATTGTAATCACTTAAATTAAAAAAGAAACGACTAGAGGCCGTGGGCGGAGTTATAAGACATTAAAATAGCCAGGGAATATTTCGATGCTTACAAGCCGCTCGGTGAATTCGGAGAGTCTTACAGTTATACAAAACTAAATTCCGCGAGTCGATTTAATTCAAGTGAGAAAAATAACTCAACAATAGAAACAAAGAGAGAGTGTCTTTGATGGACTAGAACTTTTCAATACATTGGCGTATTCCACAGGTCACGTATGTGAAAAAGAAACTCGCAGATATGGATTTCTACTTATAGTGCCGTAAAGTTAAAAAAATTCGGATAATCCTTTATTGTTGCAAAAAGGTGCGAAAAAAACGTGATTAAATATAGAGACAGCAAAAAATGCCCCGCCGATTTGGCCATGCAGGGAAAATGCCTCCCATGTTTTGCCCCCTACTTTTGCCGGGTTCATCTGAAGTAAAAACCTTCCAAGTTCACAAACTTAAAAAAATGACACTACAACGCAACACGTATTCATGGAAGAAAACATTACTCCGAAATTTGCCCTGGAAAGACGAGACTCAGCACAAGACAACGAGAGACAGAGGTCTGGGCTCGTGGTCTGGGCTCCACCTCGTCTTACTACTTAGCAATAAACTTAGCGGTATCAACGATGATATGGAAGTTGTTAATGTTACCGAATACCGAAAACAAAAAGCGAATGAGATGGATGCAATCGACAATCACGTGACACGATTACCTGAACCCTCTTTTGTTGTTCGGCCGTAGCCAGTTGAGTGCGATGAGAACGATGTTACAATCAGAAAAGGGATGGGGCTTATTGTCCAAATAGTAACACACCATTTTTCCTACAACATCAGCATGCAAAGAATTCATGTAGCACTGATACGGTTGGTTCTCATTAGGGCAACGTGTGCATCGCGATTTGGACAAGTTTATTTTCCCTTAGTGCATACGCTCTCTTTTCCCTTAGTGCATACGCTCTCTTTTCCCTTAGGGCTTAGTGCATACGCTCGGCAAACCGGGATCATTTGTATGCCAATGAAAGATTGTGAAGCACGAATGCTCATCTGTGCAATTTTATTCGTTATTTCCATTGCAACTTCCATTTATTTTTAGGGTAATTACTTGAGGTTACCTTATGTATCTTGAGAGTTAGGGTAATTTCTGTTCCTTTAATTCTCGCATCTGTTCTTTCACTTTATTTACATTTACTTTTTTTGCAACTTTGCGGATTATTTTCTCTTTTTAGCGCATTTTCCTATTAATGGAGAAAAGGCGCTATTGTGCTTGCCATGTCCGTCTGTCTGTCCGTCCGTCCGTCCGTGACCTCAAGTTCTCGTCGACGAGAAAATGCGCTCTCTGTCACTCACTGCAGTGAGTACTGAGTTATATTTTTTCATAGTGTATTGAATTTGATTTTGAGTTCAAATCACCATAGGGTTTCTTCAGCGTAAAATTAATATGCATTCAACGCAATACTTTACATACCATATTTCTTTATGAAATTAAATGTGTTATTATTTTATTACTAAATTATCGCTCAATTATGCAGTAGCATATTTGTCATGATTGTATAGTAATGACAAAGTTCATGCGAGCATCTAGTTTGCAAACAAACAAACTAGGTTTATATTTACAGACTGAAAGTTGTTAGTTATTCAGGTGTATAGTTACTAATTGAAAAGTTTGATGAAGACCAGAGAATTAGTGTTATTGATAATTTTCTCATTATTTTTTAACATATCGAACAATAATTTTCATTGGCGTTGGTAAATCCAAAACTAATTTTCGATGTATCAAAAAAAAAAAAAGGATTAAAAACTATAAATGAAAAAAGTCTCTGGTCTTTATGCAAATCTATTTAAAAGAACAAATTCTGCCAACCTATGCTAATTAAATAAATTGAGCTATACATATTAAGAAATTACTTGAGGTAATTATTGAACCTGAGAACGATTATCTTTTCAGGTTGAGCACGTGGCAGCTCGAGCGCCATTTGATTGCTTATCAAGAATAACAAGATTCTGCATGCGTACTGAAAATTGTCTAGGTAGCTTTGGCAATAAACTGCATACAGTTAAACTCTGTAAGGTGTACGTGGAAAGGTAACAAAAGTGGAATAATGTGTTATAAATTAATAAATGTTTAATATTCACCTTCATTTATTAATATTTACCCGATGATTCCATAATCATTGACATAATGTGGCAGTGGGTTCGTAGACAAACATTTAAAATTGTGACGTCGTTCGTCACTCGTTAATTTCACTCGTTAAGTTTTCCTATCCTTAATTATTATTTCCCAAAATCTTCCCTCACCCGCCCCCCCCGGCGGGCACTCAAAAAGTGCGTGGAAAATATCGCAAAGATCAAAGACATTATCATTAAATGAACGCAGCGAGCCCCCAGGCGGTTAGCCGCCCGGCCAGCGCCAGCGTCACCGGCAGTAGAGCTTGAACGGGTGGGGTAGGCCGTGTGGCAGCTCACACACGCCCGCCCAGTGTTTCCTTTTAATATGTTGTTATAGCTTATTAAGCCTAATCTATGTATCTCTCTATCGTCCGTTACTGTGTATGATTCCAAGTTCATGTTATTGAGTGAATATATTAAAGTCGTCATTGTGAGTAACGCCGCTCCTAGACATCGTTGGCGGCCATGGTTATGAACAATGGCTCATACTCATAGGCTCCTCCATCATAGATAATAGCTAATTTTTAGTATGAATTCGTCTAGGAGCAATTATTTCGAGAAGGGAATATTTGTTGCATAACAAGATGTACTGATTTGATATTCTTTGGGTCATTTGCCTCACTTTTGCTGTTGTGACCTATTTGAATGTTACATAGCCATATAGCAAAAGTGCCTTCCGTTTTCTTCGACTCAATCTGAGAGAAAAGTTTTAAGGGAGACTAATTTATTCTCCGCTTACCGCCTCATCAAGCCTTACTGCCGACTTGCGTTTCATTGAGTCTCTTAGTTTGAAGCATATTAGGTAATTTTAAGATATTGTCCTCTAAACTCTCATCTATAAATCCTTATCTTTAAACTCTTATCTTTTGTCTCACGATTTCAGGTATCGTAATTGTTGTTCAAACCCAACCGCAACCGTTGGCACTAATCGTAATCAAAGCCCAGCGCAGCGTTGGCACTATTATATCTAGTAATCAATTTCAAAGCCAAACCCAGAGTTGACAAATGCAAGCATAAGGAATGAAACGTCAATATTAGGTGTATCCGGCCTAACTTAAATTGACAAACGTAGCTAGCATCAAAGTTGCGTCTCTTCTTCTTGCCTGCCTAAACCACCTTGTGAAGGTAACTAATGAAATACTGCGTCATTGACCATTCTGACATTAACCTTTCCTGTCATGCCAGTTGAAATCAGAGTTCAGCCCCTACCTAGTGTAAGTTTTTTGTGTCTTTCTCGACCTATTAACTAATATTAAATATTATTTTCAGCTCAAAACACCAAGTCACTTACGTCATCATTGTCACCAACGATAGCTAGTATAAACTACCATAAGAAAAGCGTCGTTTCTTCTTGCCCACCAAACCACATCCGTGTCAATCAATTTGATGATATTGTTTGCTTAAGAATTCTTATTCTGCACAAATAATATTGAATTGTGCACGGTATTCGGCAAATATTTTTAATTCGTTAAAACAACTATTTTTAAGGTAATGGCGACACTAAATGACGATCCCGCTGCGGTGCTCGCCGCGGATCCGCGGTCACTGCAGGCGACTGGCGTTACCAGCTTGGCAGACGACACGTCGCGCCTCTGCCTCGTCACTGAGCCCGACGACGAGGGCGAGAGAGACGTGCTGGGACTCAGACCCACAAGTCCATGGTATGCATTAGGAATTATATTTCATCATATTTATCTACGTTATTTGTATAGCTGAGTAAGCGACTAACGCATGAGAGATAATAAAAACGAGATGACCCAAATTTCCCAAATGCCATCGAGATTCCTTCAGAACGTTTCCAGAGGAATCCTAATCAATTATATATTTGTTCATAAATGAAACGGTACAAATTCCGGGTGCTGATGAATTGCCATGATAATCTTAACTTTTAAATGAGGCTGTTGTTCAACAGCATAGAGACTCCGCTCCGTCTTTATTCCAACTACAAGACGGTTAAAAATATCGGACGCTGCCTACATCTCGACGACGCTTTGAAGAGCTGGCAGTTGAAATGTCTTATTCCGCATCACCTCTTCAACAACAAGAGAGCTGAACTTTCCAACACAACCGTGAGATATCACTGAATCTCTTGAGTTACCCATGACCATACGCGATTCACGCGTGTCCACTTCTTTACATTTCTAAAATTTCTTTGCATGTGCGGTAATATTCATTTTAACACGTTTTTCTTAACTTAGCTTCGCGTTTGTTTGTTTGTGGATTTGTTTGTTTTTAACATTGACAACGAAAATTAGCCCCCATCTGATCGCTCTAGAGATCTGAAATTCGGCATGCAGGCTATTTTCGCCTAAAAATTTCAGATACAATCATAAAAACTAGCAATTAGGCTAGAATTAGATTAGAAAAACTAGCAAAATTAGCTTAATTGAGTATATATATATATATATAGTATGACGTGCGGGCGCTTTCGTTATAGACGAGCAGGCGCTGACGCTGCGTATCGTCGATATGTACGTCAAGTCATACTTAATCAAGTCTTAATCGTTTTTCTTGCGTACTAAAAAGTAGAAAATAAATACTTAATAAAAAACTTATAAAAACACGTTTTTCTTGTGGACTAAAAAGTAGAAACTAAATTATGACTCGCCCCAAAAAACGTGGGTCGGGCTGTACGTTCACCATCAAATTTCCAAAATTCATGTGTTGTTTTTTTTTGTTGCTTTAATCATAAATTTGCCCGACACGTTTTTTGGGGCGAGCCATAATTTATTTTCTACTTTTTAGTCCACAAGAAAAACGTTTTTTTAAAAGTTGTTTTTAAGTATTTTATATATTTATCTATGTATAACTAGGGTATCTGAATTTCGTTAAAATGGCTATTCACTTTACGCGTGATCCTATATTCTTACATGCACTCAGATGACAAAATTATTCACAAAATTATTCGAATTTGGGTCGAAATTGATAACACGTGGCAAAATTAATTGTTGGGAATAGCGCACCTGAAACTTGCGAATAATAGAAGGCTCAGTGGTCAATTAAATTAATTAAATGAATTAAATACATCGGTCTAATTCCCTGCATATAATTTGATAACAACATTAATTGTTTTCATCAACAGTTTAATGACAACAATTCCTGTTTATCCATTGAAATTGTTTCTTAATTGCATAAACTATGTTCAGAGGTAATCAAAAGGGACTGTGCAATTCGTTATTTGCTTGCAAGTAAAGGCTCAGTTAAGACAATTAAGGAATACATTATATTATTGGAAATAATGACATTAAAAAAACAAGCAAGTTGATTAATTTACAATTGTGTGCCTCAGGTTCTGTGGACTGAACCAGTCAGAGACGCTCGTCGCCACAACAAATTCGGCAACGTCACCTTCACCGTGGCCTGGTCCGACATGTACAGGCAGTTTGGTCCCCACATGTACTACCTCCGACAACGTACTTCTCACAACATTACAACTGAAATACTGATCACTAAAAAACGTTTTAACACCTTGGAATTAGTTGATTTTAATGCCAAGGACGCTCCTGTAAGAAGAGGAAAATGTAATTGTGCTTCAGAGAGCAAAATATGCAACTGTTTTTCGTTGAAATACGCAACAAAAATTCGAAGAGGTAAATCATGTATCGCTCATAAAATACAAATAGCCGTTGATGCCACATTGTGGGAGGGATTTTGGGTCTATGCCCTGAGCACCATTGTACTGAATGACCACCAGCATAATGAATTTTGTTTCAGGCACAGATACGTGACCAAGAAGCCTTGTAGGTTTTATTGTGACATAAGCAAAGTCCGAGGTATTTTACGGTTACAATGCAACCACGAACTTCATGAGGATTTCAGGCGCGAATGGTATGAAAGATTTCTGCAGAATTGGATGCTTCATTTTCACAGATACAGTCAATCTCCTTCATATTATTTTAAATAAACATTCTACGGACAACTGTCTCATCAATAATATTTTCGAGAGATTTTTGGTTCTCTTTCAATTCCACGTCTCATGAAATGAATTGCATGATTTTGAGCAGAGCAGATTAAAGCAAGTGATGGACAGATTGGTGCAGAATTGGATACTTCTTCATGAAAGTTACAATGAATTTCCCTCAAATTACTGCGGACAAATTTTTCACGGACAATTATTTTTTCTAATTTCAGTGAGAGATTACAGTATTTGCTTTCTTCACAATTCGCGTCTGTTGCATGATTATATAATGGAATTAAATCATGCATATAATAATTATTATATAATCATGCATATAATGGAAAAGTGGCTGAATCATTACAATTCAGGATGAACGGTAATCTGGTAGCAATGGTGATTAGTTTCTTTTATGTTCTGATTGTCAACGAACTAAACGGAAAAAAGCTAAAGTTTTTAATTTAATCCTGTAAAACATTATATATATTATCCAAGAGTCAATTCATAGTACACACCAATGTAATTCACTATAAAATCGCGACCTTAACGCAAATACGAAGGCATTCATAATCTTCAGATATTCTTCATTTTCTTTTCTCCAAGCCGAAATTATCCAGCTTTGAAAAATCATATACGATGAATTTGTAAAGGTCATAATCCTTGCCTTGCTTTCATTTGCAAAGCCTACTAGCTAGCGGCTTCAAACATAACGAATAAATTTTTTCATTTGGTCTTACACAATGAATAATCAATCAACGAACGACGATCTCGCTCGTGGTAAATCGAATTTCTGGAGGACCTGCATTTATTAAATCAAATTTATTGTTCAAAGCTATGCACGGGCGTACTCAAACGTTGTGCTGCGTAAATGTGGGAGTTTTAATAATTAAGCATGGTTGCTTTGTTCATATCAATGATTTTTACCCTAAAGATATAATAATAAATCAGCACTGACTGTCAAATGCCGGAAGAACTGTTGAATGTTCAATTAAATTCTCAATGTGTGCCTTGAATGTTAGTAAATACTGCATCACTAATTGCCTGACGCTCAACAGTATGGATTTTGGGTATCACTCACACTCATAACTATCATTGTCATTCACAGAGTTAGTTGGATCTAGCAACCTCTAAGAATTTGCCTTGTCATAAAAAACAGACAAGCCTCAAGCTGTTAACAAATTATAAGAAAATGTTAGCTCATGGTTATAAGGCTCAGAGCTTTGAAGATGTACGTGAATACCGACGTGTTCGACCGTCTAGCAGCAGGTCTGTGTCCTAGTACTGTGGTTTAGAGCTGATTGCTATGATGTCCAATTACTTCAAACAGCTCTGGCAAATTGATTCCTATATTATATCATTATATTATTTTAGCCTCTAGGTTCGAGACGCCCACGAGGCGGACTATAAAATCAAGTGTATTTTTGCTCAATTGACCTGTTCGAGCGTGAGAGAGTTTTTGATGTTGGGTAAGACATAAAGCTGTTGCTGATTGTCAGTATTACCTGTCGACATAGACCAGATCTTTGTCAGCGGCTTTGTTCTACGATTTAGTGCTTGAAATAGTTGTAATTATAAATAGTAATACAGACGCAACGCTGATTCCTATCGCTCGATTAAATTAGAAGTAAACAATACAGGAACATGAGATGTATGAAGTGAACATGAGATGTCGAGTGAGGACTAATGTTGAGCTAGTGGGAAAGGCAAAAAGGCTATAAGAATTTCTTTCGTACGTTCAAGCCTCTGGCCTCTGCTTTCAAGTGCATGACCTAAGTAGAACCATTTGACCAATCGAAAGAAATTTCATTGAATTCGTATATAGAGTCATCGATAGACTTGCACGTCGTTTCTTCCCCTTGAATAATGGCAGAACTGCAGGAGGGTTGACATCGTTTATAAAACGATTGATGTGGCACTAGTACCTTCTTATTTTGGACGATGTGGGCGCATCGTCGCCTGGCTTCAGTCTAGTTTTCCCGGATTTGATTTTTCTTGAGTGATAGCGGTACGTGGGGCGACTTGTATATTTTTAATATTAGATATAATGTGATAATGATGATATATATGCGGGAAGAAATGATTGCTAATATTTTGATTGTATCATCCCGAGAGATGCAAGGGTAGACAGAGAGATTTATAGTTATCAAAAGTGAACTTAAATTTATAATCGGTGTGTAGGTGGTTACAATCTGCTATCGGGATGCAGGTGAGTTACTCAGCAATCGGGATGTAGGTGGGGATTACTCTGCAATCGGGGCAGAAGTGGATTACTCTGCAATGGAGACGTAATAGGGTTACTCTGCAATCGGGATGTAGGTGGGCTACTTAGTAATATTACCGCACCCTGTACAGCAGCGTTACTTCGAGCTCCCGTTTGATCTCACTTTTGGCCCGAGTTTTCCCTCCCCACACGAGGGCTTCAAGGAACATGAACATAGAAAGATTATCACGAGATGCATTTGCTTGATGGACAGATCACTGAAGAAAATGTACATTTAACTTTGAATTTTTAAGGATTTTTCACACTTCTTTATGTTTTGGATCTTCGAGTAATCTTCAAGTCTTAAATCGAAGAAAAATTATTTTGAAAATTTTATTATAAGCAACTATGTAAGTTATTTGCCACGAGATACTCAGACTCCAGCTGTGCGACGACAAGAAAAGTAGACAAGCAATCTAATCAAACATAAGTGTAATTCATAGACATGTTCTTCAAAAATATGTTTTTTCATTAAAAAATTGCAATGGCAATGAATTTTTATTTTCTTTCGTTATGATAGCGAAAAACAAAAGACTGGCTCTATTTTTTTTATGAGATGACACAGAGAGCTTTGAAAGACAAATTTTACCTTTGAAAACTTTTTTCCCTTATTCTATGGCCGTGAATAGTTGTTAATTATCATGAGTTGTTATTTCAGTGTCGCAATTGTTGCATTATTATGATGATTGTTATGTTATTGGGAATACTTTAGCTTTAATTGCGGTAACATTCATATGATGAGATGCTCAGAATTAATGCTTTATGATTGATTTAGTTGGCATGAAAATAATTTGAAAGGAAAGCCGTAAAAACTGATAGCTATAGATCTAAGTTTTATATATGATATATCAGCGTACCGTGATATTCCATTCGATGGAACGCTTCGGAATATGTCGGTGTTTAGCTCAGGAATTGATAGATTAGAACGTTTTTCATAGAAATTTTGAGTGGCATTCATACATATTTTTTTTTATATAATATCAGTGATAATTGAGTCTTCCAATACGAAGCATTTATCCTGTAAACTGAACAAAATACGAAAATTTTGAAACTTATGGTGAAATATTATTTTTATAGCAATTAAGAGCTGGAGATACACACGCTCAATCAAAGATGGGATTTTATGAGGTTAGTTGTGTACCACTCTCATTTGAAAAGAATGTTAATATTAAAATTGTGCATGTCTTTTCACAACTTTAATTTTTTTGAGTCAGTAAAAATGTATTGATTGTTAGATGATGCTTATCGCTCAAATTTTTAGAGCAGGGGAAAAAGTTTGTGGCAGTTGGAATTTAATACTTCAAGCAGAAAAACTTAGGCACGCGCCGATGTAAGGTAGACAGGTACACACCTCCAGGTACACACCTTCAGGGATACAATGTTAAGTTCTAATAAACGGTCAATAACCATGAAAGCGGATAGCACGGGTACAGGTACGAGCTGCACCACGATGCCGACAACCTCACAAGAACGGAAAGCACGGGTACAGGTACGAGCTGCACCACGATGCCGACAACCACACAGGAACGGAAAGCACGGGTACAGGTACGAGCTGCACCACGATGCCGACAACCACACAGGAACGGAAAGCACGGGTACAGGTACGAGCTGCATGCACCATGCACGATGCCGACAACCACACAGGAACGGAAAGCACGTGTACAGGTACGAGCTGCACCACGATGCAGACAACCTCACAGGAACGGAAAGCACGGATACAGGTACGAGCTGCACCACGATGCAGACAACCTCACAGGAACGGAAAGCACGGGTACAGGTACGAGCTGCACCACGATGCCGATAACCTCATAGGAACGGGGTGGCAGTTGCGCCTCAGAAGCACGACTATTGAAGGGTACGAGCCCCCAATATGCCGCTGACACTTTACTCGCGTGGAGAGGTTGTCAGCCCCTACGGCACGAGGGCGCGAATGGAGCAGCTGTTAATTGCCCAATTAACGCAGCCAAAAGCTGGAACTATCAAAGAACTCCACCCATGCCGTTATTATTCCGTTGGTGGAATTCTTTAAGAGTTATCTCCAGAATTACGGTAGAGTTAATCTAGCAAGCCCAGATGTTACTCCCTCCCCTAACTCAGTAACACTGAGCACACACAACTTTCCCGCGACGGGTAACTCAGCTAAAATGAGCTTACCTCAACATCCCGTTTACTATGTACAAGAAATAGGCTAATAAAAACGTCTATATGCCAAAACAATTTGATAATATAGTATATCACGATAAAATAGAATCATAATATAATCCTTTGGTCAAATATTGATTAGTGAAAGTTAATTTAAGACAGAATAACACTCGAGGATAATTTACTAGCGAGCGCGAGTCGGTACCAGTTTGTCAATAGACTAGACAAATGACTAAGCATTATCAAATACAACGAGAAGTATTATCACCTAATAAAATAATATTAATAGAGAGTTTATCCATTTGACAACATGACTACAAGTTATAATCTACCTCTTATAGAACATCTATCTCTAAGACGTCTGGCTTCCTTATGCAAGATGGCGGCCTAGCCGTCTTTACTTTAACGATAGTATCGTAGGTTGACGGCACTGATTCTCGGACAGCAGTAAATCATTACGATTATCACAAAAGAATAAAGTCCTTAGACAAAATAATTGCACATTAAATGAATAAATGATAGGTCAAGTGATATTTTACGATTAACACATCATAGAAATAAGTCTAAATGTGTGGCTAGCAGACGACGACGCATGGCGCCTAGCAGACGATCGCAACGCAACGCTACCGACAGCTGATGTCACAGCAAAGGAGATTCCTTGTTTCAGTCATAAAATAAATGTTACCAACAATTGACTAGTCACTAACCTAAGCACAAGATTAATAGAACGTACAGTTGAACCGATACTTCCTAGAAACAAAAAAAAAAAATATATATATATATACAGTATACCACGAAATAAGCATCCCGTCATACTTGTAAATTCGGTGGTGTTGATTAATTGTCGTTAATTTAAGAAAAAAATGTATATATGGTCTTTATTCGTGAGTATAGTGTTCATATCCATATTCATTGT